CATCTTGTGTTCAGAAAGACAATATAAGGATGTTGAGATTTTTGAGTTGTGTAAGAATTTGAGAGTTTAATTTAAATAGTTTGTTTGAACGACTTTCTGAATGTGAAGTAGAGAATGTGTGCAGCTTTCTTCTAAATCTCCCTAAATTCCCCATGTGTGAAAAGTTATAAATGAGTCTGATTTTTGAATGGTGATAGTCTTACAAAAGCTAGTAGTAGACATAGTATGGTTTGTGAGGCTAAAATATAAAAAACCTTTAAAAATTAAAAAAACAGGAAATCAAAAAGGAGTTTTGTTGGAAAAAATACTAATAATCTACTTGAAATGCAATGCTGTAAAAGAATTGGGGAGAAAAAAAAGAAAAAAAAGTTTGTGTTTTGGGGTAAAGACCCATCATGAAAAGACATGACTACAGCCATTTCTGCAGACACCTGTGTTCAACTGAATGAAACTTTGTTTTAATTTTTTGTAATTTCTATGGTACAGACTATTGGTGCTATAAATATGTTCAATTTGAAGTTGCAGTTCCATAATATGGCTGTGATAAGTAGACAGCATAGCCTAGCTTTGTTTGTAGTCCAGACAGTCAGACTCCATGAATATCTTTTTGCGAAAATTTGTGAAAAGAAGAAAAGAAAAAAAAAGTTTAGCCTGATGGCGTTTCTTGCTTAATGTGGCTTGGTTTTTATTTTAAGGTAACCTCTTAGTTGTCAGGCCTGTAACAGCTGAAGCAGAAATACTTGCAGGTATTAAATCTCATGTTGCTACACATCTATTCAGTTGCTTGTCCCCAAGCAGAACGGACAAAATCAGCATTGACTGATGGTTCATTGTCCACGCTGCAACTAAACAAACGTATATCAAAATAAGTGGCAGGGGGCGGTGGTCAAACCAAAAACATGACATAATTACACTAAGGTACAAATGCTTTTTTTTCCATATGAGGTGTGTTTTTATTTTTTTTTTTTGGTTTACAATATATCTTATTGAAATATTGAGTAATGTCTCACTGTGTGTGCGTGTGTGTGTTGGCAGCAGAACTTGTGAAGGCACTGGTTCAGAATGAGTGTACTAGAACTTTATCTCAGAGAAATGTGAATGTATGCTAAGACATACATTCCCAAAAAATGCAAATGTATTTGTGCGCCCTAAATTTGAAACACACCCTAAACAAATTAGCTATCAAGTCCATGAGGTGTGGTTGGACCGGCCCGTATTGCGGCCTGTCCTTTGAAAATTAAGTCAAAGCATATGCAGATAAATGCATTTTGCATTTCGTAATATCTGCTGTTTTTAATTTTGTTTTTAAAGGAGCAGTGTGTAAGATTTAGGGGGATTTAGTGGAATCTAGCGGTGCAGATTGCAACCAATTAAAATTTCCCCTGGTTAGGATTCCTTCAATGTTCTTTGTTCAGGTTTCTACTTGGAGCCGAATTACCCGCAGACATCTCTTCCTCTCCAAAACAAACAGACCAGGTGATTAAAACTGGTAAAAACACTGAATAAATGAGTTTCACACCACAAATAGTGTTTCTCAGACACTGTTCGGCATGTCAGAGACGGGCTGCTAGCTAGGCACCTGCTTATCTGTGCTCAAGTTCTTCTTTGATTACTTAAGATCCAGACATTCAGGAGGTTTTTTACCGGAGGCAGAATTATCCAAGGAGGTCTCATCGCTCCAGAACACACAGACACAGTGATTTGAATCCGTAAAAACAATTCATGAAGTAGCTCCACGTTAAAAAAATGCAGCCAGTGTTTGGTTTGTCAGTTCCAGGCTACTCTAGAAACATGGCGGTGCAACATGGTGAACACAGTTCTTACGTTCAGATGATTATTCACGAAAGAAAAACATACTTAAATTACATTTCTGCCACTATATCTCCCTAAATCCTACACACTGGATCTTCAATTTAAAATTTTCCGAAAGGGTTACGAGGACAGAAACAGGGTGACTTATCTGTCACATAGCGTAAAACTGAAGCACAGATAACTAAAAACCATCCCTCCATTAATGGGCAATTAAAATGTGTCAGCAGTGTGAGCAGACACTCTGTAATGCACTGTCGCAGGTGAAGGTGTCTCTGTTACAGGCATGGCTTCGGAAATGGCTTCCTCATTTTAAAAATGCAAAGATTGTACATACAGGCCCACGGTTTGTTCAATCCAATGCCACTTCAATTGGAAAAAAAAAAAAGAAAAGAAAAAAAGGACCCCTAAGTAGCTGAATGAAAGGTACTCCAACTTCAGGGTCTTGTCACCTTTCTTTGACAGTCATCAGACACTCAGGAATTTTTTAATATAAGCATACTGCATAATCTACACTCAGACCTGTGACAGTGCATTGATGCATTAATGTAAAACCTTTCTTTGATTGTAGAGCAGAAAATATTGACAGGAGTTCTTTCCAAGCAAACCACAGAAGTGACTGTCATTAACTTAGAGCTATAGTTTTAGGAGGGAAAAAAAAAAGAACTAAGCCATTGTAGATTGCATAAGCAATGTGGAGGGGAATTCAAGAGCCCTGAGTCCTCTATGCAATACCTTGGCGCATGTTAACATTCAAGAATATATGGAGAAAAGTCATTCAGTTAATTTTGCATGTTGATTACTTTTGAGTGAGGGACGCCTGGGAGAAAAAACCCATGGGGTTTCTCTAAAAATGCAGCATGCAAACATCACTCGTTTTATGTTGGATTCAACAAAATATTTTGGTTAAAAAAAAAATACAAGTGAGGTTAAATCAGTGATTGAAAGAATGTTATGACTGTGTGAATCTGTGAGTGAATGAGTGCAAGAAGCAAAGTCAAAAAAAAGCACTTACATGGGAGTTGAAAGGAATACATCACGCCTTTCTCCATTGAATTCTTCCATTTTGGTAGGCCGTGTTAAAGAAAAAACAAACGTATGATGAGAAAATGCATTCAGTGAGGGTATATGCATTTGGAACGACACTGACAGGGGTCGCTGAGTTTCGATTGCACTGTGGTCTGAAGAACATATCCAGCACTGAAAACTTGAGTTTTCCTCGTCTTTTCATTCCCACCTAGACGCTCCTTCACCCTCCCCCCTTCCTCTATGTTCCTCGATCCCATCTGTCCCGAGTAGCTGTGTTGTTCTAATTTCATGTACTCCCTGAGTAAATTATTTTGTTTCATTGTGGATTTTCTTAACATCTAATAAAGGAATAAACCAAACCTCAGCCTATGACTTTCCCTGTGTTTTATTTTGCTTCATACCTTTTCACTTAGGGTATTTGCCCCAGTGGTGACTTCCACAGGAGACAAAAGCAGCTTTACATTTTAGGTCCACGACCTCATGGTGACACTAGAGGGCAGGGTGACAATGCTGTAGGAGGAACAGCCAGCTCATTAACCAAATCACATGTCAGGCTTTAGTTTCATTATCATTTTCTGTTAATATCACAGTAAAAGCTTCAAACATTTTCAGAACCATCCATTAAAAAAATCTCACATTTACGTTGTGAGGGGCCACTTAAAAAACGAGCTATACACTTTTTGGACATGATTGTGTCCATTCGATAGGTTGCAATGAAATAATATTACCATTGCGTGCATTTGGCTACATGTATTTATTTTTTGGCCAAACTTACTAGAAGTTACAGAGAGGTATACGTCTGACATAATTTGATATGTTGTGCTTACACATTGGAAATTAAGTTCAATATTTTGTATAATGTGGCACTAGTGGTGGTAACAAAATAAACCTTTATTGACTTGAATTAAATTTCCTTTGCACTTTTAGTATATTTTTTGGGAAGAAGTGCTGTCCCAAAGTTGACTGTATTATAATCTAAACACATGTAACTACACAAAGATAAGTTTGATTGAATGTGATTAAGTTTCAGTCATGAATGGATTGCTGAATGGGCCAATGTGTCACAGGCTCAGGGGCCCAAAGTTTCAGAGGGCCCCCTGGCACCGCTTGCCAAATTTATCTCAAATAAACATGGACCAACTAAAAAGAGACTCAAAATGACAAAGAAAAAAAGAGATGCAAAGGAGCTGCAAAGAGAATAAATACAAAAAATGGGCAAAACAACCACAAAGACACAAAATGACCAAGTAACTCACAAATCTATCTCAAAGAGGCACAAATTACCTAAAGACACCCAAACGACCACATAAAAGACACAAAACAGCTACAAAGAGGCACAAAATGACCACAGATACCAAATGCCTATAAAGTGACAAAAAAATGACCAGAAAACCAGACTAAAATTATCTCAAAGAGGCACAAATTACTTAATTTAGACACAAAATTACCTCAGACACCTAGACGACTACAAAAAGACACAAAATGGCAATAAAGAGGCACAAGGTGGCTACAAAGTGACAAAAAATGACCAGTAAACCCCACAAAATAAAGCCAAAGAGGCACAAATGACCTTAACTAGACATCAAATGACCTCAAAAACAATCAAATGCCCACAAAAAGACTCAAAACTACTGCAAGGAGACACAAAATGATGAAAAGATGCATTATGACTACAAAGAGACACACAAATCACATTAAATCTGCGTGTCTTGCTTCTGTGTAGGAGAGTTGGTGGGGCCCGTTGCATATCTGTGCCCAGGGGCCCCCACTGTCTTATAATCCGCCCATGGTTTCAGTCAACATGGCAATTTTACTGCCCAGTCAAATACCTGTAGGAAGACTATTCCGAATATCAATGCAGAAAACACTATTTTGGCGCCTGAAAATGGAAATAAAATTACAGTATTTTACTTACTACCTTAAAAACAATTGTAACACTTTGTAACAACTATTAATGGTCTAAGAAATGAACTTCAATTTCCAAAACTATAGACCGTGTCTAAATAAACAAACAAAAACGCCTTCATATAATCCTGTAGGTGCTCAGGTCGCTCGGTCGATTATTAATGCCTTCAGTAGCAGACAGGTGAATCTATCGACGGTGAGCATTCTTGACTCGATTACACCGCACTCTCGGTACAAGTTTGGTTTAAAATGGCGGCGGAAGCGTCAAAACAGGTATGAATTGTTAACGATACCGGATAAACTTGTGAAACGTGCTCGCTCATATAACACCGGAGAAGTGTTTTCTCTCTCGTAGTAACGCCGTGACAGCAAAATAATGTCTTTCGCATTTTAACTTGCTTTGAGTGCACTTGAGGAAGCGCTGGTGAAATCATTGAGTTGGCGTCAACAGCAAGTGCACTTGGCGAGCAAGTCCGGTTGGACCGACGTAGAGTTTATGTTTACCGGCCTCCTTTATTTGCCTCCCCGAGGTGAATGTAAGTGTTTGTCCCGACAAATGTCCTCACCCTGCTGCTGTTTGTGTACTCTAAGCTGCGCTGAGGAGGCAGGGAGGTGAGGGCGGTGCAGCACTGGTCACAGCATCACCATGGACCGCTCAAGCCGGCGGCTACCTGCCACCCACCTGTAGCATCAAGCGGCAACATGGCGAACACGGCACACGGTACCCAGGACCGGAGAGACAGCCGCTGTGGTAGGTTAACGTTACCATGATGTGCTGTCAGACCCTCTGTGTATTTACCACTGTTAACACTCATACCACATGAACTCTGCCCTGATACAGTGTGCGCTGCTCTCCATAGTAACATCACAGGTTACGCTAAACTGCATTTTAAAATTATGTGAGTTAAATAGGATCCCGAATATTGTACATGTATACAATTGATAAACCATGGCACATAGCATTTTGTGATTATTTTAGCCCAGTGTTTAATTCGGCATACATTTAACACACCAAAGGCCACTTTCTGAGACAGTTTCTCAACTTTTAACCACAAACTTAATGTAATGACTCTTAATATGTGAGTTGAAACCAGTCATTAACGAGGCTAGAAAACGGTGGTCAGTTCGGCATACATTTAAAATGGCACTTGCTGAGATAGAATTTAAGTTGGTTAGTAAACCATGACTCTTAGCAGCCAGTGTTTTGGTCAGTTCTGCATATTAATACCAAGCTGCACGTGCTCAGATAAAATTTGAACTTTTTTCTACTTGGATTTGTTCATTGCTCACCAATGTCCTGCAGGTTTTATTTGTAAAACTACTTGAGAAGTAGTTCTGAATATTAAAAATGCCAGGAAATGAAATGTTTGTGTTAAAAGCAAAAAACTTCTGAATTCATATCTATATAGGCAGGAAAACCAGAGACTATTTCCCATGTCATGTGCCCCGTCTTATATGCATTGCACCATGCATTCCAATCTGTGGCTCAAGAAGTGCCACTCAAAAATGTGTATTATGTCTTAAGCCAAACAGAGAACCACTTTCTCAAAAAAGTCACTCATGCGTTTGCCCACATTTCCACATTTTCGATGCAATGTTAACCTAAGTTGAAAGCGATACTATTGATAGTAATATCATGACTCACAGAACAAGATTTGTGTGTGTGTACTCAAATGGGTGTTTCAGTTGATAGATAATAACAGCAACCTTTTATTATGACTTACAAAAACAAGAGCATGCATGTACATGTTGGTGTGGCCTTTACTGCTAATGCTTTGTGGTTAAAACCTAATGAGGGACATTGCATTTGTTCTTAAATATAATGCATTTCAAACAATTATAGTTATAGTTTTTCAGCAGTATGATAATAACTGATGAGTCCGTGTGTACAGATTCTGACATTGTTAGTAATGTCTGGCTGTAGATCATTTCCACAGTTGCACAGGACCAACCTGTTGCTGTGTTTTGGGACAAAGTCTACCAGGCTCACATGACAACCTGCAGGTCAGGGTTTAGAGCTTGGCTAAAAATCTGTCTTTGTGTGTCAACCATTAGGAGAACAAAGGGCACTTCAAAAGTGTATTTATTTTACCTACTTATTTATTTATTTATAGAAATGTGTGTGTGTGTGTGTGTGTTCAGAGCCCTTACAGTTGACAAGCACAGACAGGATTTTTTGCTGAAAAACAGAACACCTCCGTGTACAGCTACAACACTATGATTCTGTCAAATGTGTCTGAAGCAATGACGATTCTTGAAAATTGTTGAGTTTGAAATCGGAGGGGTGCAAATGTCTCTGTCCATGGGTGTCAGAAGCTCAATGAGTGCAGCCTGAGAGCTTGACACACAGCCTTTAGCTTAGCTGCCCAGCTGGTGTTAAAGTAAGATGTATCCCCTCTGGGGACCTGTTCACATTACAGCACAGACTCCAGTTACAACCTGCTTGGGATTAGTTTTCACCTCTCAAGGCTTCCACGCCCATTATCTCAGACGCCGTGCTTGATCAGAAGAAACCTTTGGTAGTATTGTATTTCATAGAGTTTGTCATGCCATTTTCTTTTTATAAATTGATCATGTAGTCTACAAAATGTTTGATAATTGCTATCATAGTCAGGGCCGGATTAACTACATAGGGGGCCCAGGCAAAATGAGCTCTGGGCCCCAATGACCCCCAAACTTTAGCCCACTTTCCCTGCATTGTGTGTGTATTGCTAAGTAGTTATAAATAGTGTGTTAATGCAGATGTCACCTCACCTTGTGCTTCCATGGTGCATATAATATTACCAAACAAACCAGTAATTACTTAAACAGCCACAAACTTAATGGCCAGATGGTCAACACCCCCAGTTCCCACTTTGCCTGGTTGCTAATTAGCCTTGTTCACAAAGTGACTTCTTCAAATTACTTGTTATCTCTGATGAACACTCCACCTCCTAACAGTGTTCAGTTTGCAATAATATAAAGATTGCGAAAGCATTTTCACATTTGAAAAGATGGAACCAGTGAATGTTTGACAGTTTAATGAATAGATGACAATTAATCAGTTATTTAAATTGTTGTAGATTAATTTTCAATCAATTAATTGTGACGTCACACTAACAACAAAAATAACTAGCAGTTAAATTCAGTCGTTGAGATATGAAATCGGCAAACTTGTTTATTTCTGTTGGCATTTTCAGCCATGACTGTAATGTTTTTAAAGATATGTAGTTAAACACTGTGGTCTGACCTATCTGAGGTTTCTGCTGTGCTCATTTTATGTATGTACTGTGGTGCTTTACTAGAGTCTTAGACAAACCGAATCTACTGGTATGGAAGCTAAGCAGTGTACTGCTGTGGTAGGGGCTGTAGCAAAATGTATTTTTAGCCACGTAAAAAAAACCCCCTCAATATCAGTTCAGGTATACGCTATATTCGGAATACTTGCCCTGCTTTACCTTACAAACTATTTCATTGAGTCAGAGGTAGACCAACAGGTCTTGAGTTCTGCAAAGTAAAATCACTTTTTTTCCCCAATGGAGTGTGGTGGCTTTGAGATAACGGCTTCAGCTTCCCGTCGAGAGGGCTGTCTGCAAGGTAAAGCAGGGAATATATTTGGAATATAGCATACTCTTAGATTGATATAGATTGTTTCAGGTGGCTAAAAACTAACCAACAGAGGCAATGTGTGCTCAGCGAATTTTAATTTTATGTATTTGACACAGGGATTTCCTACCTGGAGGTAATTGCAAACAAACACTGTGATTTAGTCTATAGTAGTAGCAACAGTATATAGAACATTACAGTACATATGAGAGAAGCTAAATAAAAGAACTATGGCACTAGAAGATGAAAACAAATACATAAAATGGCATGAAAACACAATAGGACACTGTAAAATACATACAACAGACAGATCAAGAACTAAAGGTACCCTGTGGAGCTTTGAAAAGTTATTTTAAATTTAGTATTTCTCACCAGAATGAGTAGTTGAGGCCTAACAAATGTGCTAAATGCATCATCTTCTTTGTAAAACATTTGAAAAGTCAGTTTAAAAAATAGTTTTAAAGCTTCATTGTTTACATCTATCCTTACAAGCTAGCAGTTTTTTCTTCCTTGAATTCCTTGCTTCATTTCTATATCACCACCAGTGGAACTGTTGACAAGAATGTTTGTCACGTTGCCCCTGTCCTTGTGACTATTCCCGAGATACTAACAAATAAGGGATCCGGTCATAAAACATTTAAACTGGCCACAAAATGACATTCTCCAGAACTTAGTCCCAGCCAGCAGGCAAGAAGCTCTTAGTGGGGTATTACACCAAATCTGCTTTTATCATCTCAAAAGCAAAGCTAAAATGTTTACATTTTCATTATTTTTATGTCTCTTGTGCATTAGTCTTCAGTTGTTTCACTGTTAACATTTGTCCCGTCTTATTATCAGCTTGCCAGTCATCTAAAGCACTTTGAATTTCTCTAACCTGTATGAAAGGTGCTACATAAATAAAGATACTGATAAAAAAGCATTGCTTCATAGCACCACTATTTGTTAAAAACACCACATGGTGCCTTTTATTAAAAGCAGTGTAAATAGTTAAAAGAATGTGGGCCAAAAAAGACCCGCGAGTCTTTTTTTTTTTTTTTGAAAAGCGAGAGAGAGAGAGAGGGAGGTAGATCTGTGGCAGGTCAGTCCACAGTTTAGGGCCCTGCAGCCGCATGATAGAAAGGCTGGTCACCTTTTGAGCTCAGGTCACATAAACGCATCACTACAAATTAATGTGTTAATTTATTTAGCTTTCACAATCACAGCTTATCTTATTAAATATAATTGAATACCAATCATTAAAAGCTGTTGAAAATATGTGTAAAAACAAGCTAACTCATCTCATATTCTTTTAAAGGTGTGTCTGGAGAAGCCATAGTGGAGAATGGCTGTGTAATAACGGACCCGCCTGCTTCTGACCTCCACGATCATACCAACCACCACTGCCATGAACCCAGCATAACCCCGCACAGCGAGCCCGTCCTGTCCAGTTACAATCCATCCTGCTCCTCTACCCCTATCTACTATTGCAGCCCCCAGAAAAGCTACTCGGACCTGAACCAGGACAGCCACAGCTTGACTTCCCAGGACTCAGGTATCCCGACTCTGGAGATCAACCCTCCAGAGCCCATCCTCCACAGCCACCAACGCTCAGGTGAGGGAGGCCTCATCCCGGACTCCAGTGACCACTCTCCCGCCACTTTAACTTTGGACGATGATCCCTCTGATGGTAGCAGCATCCGTAAATCCTCCACCTTCCCCCGCAGCGGGTACGACTCCATCCGCCTCTTCAGCCCTGGCCTTAGATTATCCGCCACCACAGGGATGGGTCTTGGGGGTGGAGCTTTAAACCGCAGCGATGATATCTCTGTGTGCAGTGTGTCCAGCATGAGCACCGAGCTGTCGGTTTCCAATGAAGACATCTTGGATTTCACCGTCACCTCTGACTCCAGCGCCATTGTTACCTTAGAGACAGATGACAGCAGTGTAGGTCATTTCTCAGATGTGACGCTGTCATCATCACCAGGAAACCCAGGAGACTTATGGAGTCCTGTACGACCTCATCCAGGGTCTGGGGTCAGGCAACAGGAGGAGGATGGCAGGCAAAAGAAACTGGGACCTCTAGCAAGCTTATTCAACAGGTATGTTCATATTTACACGGGGAAATTGAGATGGTTGTTGAGCTTGAGTCAAACTAGAAATGCATGGCTCCATATTCTTTATTATGTCGTCATTCATTCTTTTAGATTTGTCACCTCCACTGAGACATATGCACTAAGTTACATAAGATGAAGGTGAAAAATTTCTTCATATATAATTTGATTGCAGGCATACCTGCAGTTATCCACAGATTTTAGCCAGCACTGATGCAATAACATGTTACATTAACCTCCTTATTTGACATTAATTAGCAGTATATTAACATTTATTAAATGGTTTATGACACACTACAGTGTAGTTGTGTGCAGTTTATTAATATATTTGCCAACAATTCTAACTCCAACTCTGACCAAATGTCTCCCCTTTTAAGTTATGGCCAAAACATGTTTTTTAAGGTCACACTGACCTTGACCTTTGACCTTCAACCACCAAATCTTGATTTGGTAATTCTTGAGTCCAAGTGAAAGTTTTTGCCTTGTAGAGATATTGCGTTGAAAATAATGAGATGGAGGCAAGGTCATGGTGACATTGGACCTTCGAATACCAAATTCTAATTAATTATCTTTGAATCCAGGTGAACATTTGTGCCAAATTTGAAAAAAGTTCCCTCAAAGCAAGATAGCTCATTCACAAGAATGAGACAGATGAGGTCACAGCGACCTTTGACCATCAAAATCCATTCAGTTCATTGTTGAGTCCAAGTGGACGTTTGTGCCAAATTTAAAGAAATTCCCTCAGATAAAGGGTTCACACAAGAATGGCATGGAGATATGTACAGACAAAAAGACAACCCAAAAACATAATGCCTGCAGCCACGGCTATAGCTGGCACAGAGGCATAAAATGTGACAACTGCACACTTACTCTATTTAATTAAGACGTTTGGATACTGCTTGGATCTTCGTCAGGTCAAAATGTTTGAGAAGTGAAAACCACACCTATATTTATACATAATACACAACAATAGGCTGACAAGATCTATGATGGCAGGTGTGGTTAACCATCTAAACCTCTCACTTAATTTGTAAAACATAAAAAACAAAACGTCTCTATGTCTGTCTGCACATTACATCATCTGGATATAACAAGAAAAAAAACATGGATAATCTTTGGCCATGAGCAGCCAAAAATAGAAAAAGAATCATTGTAGGCCACCTCAGTGAGATGATTATCCTCTTTATACTTCCTCTCATCACAGACTCTTTGTTAAAAGCCTTATAGAAGTTACACAGAGGTAGGCATTGCTCAGAGTTGCTTTACAAACCTTGCTTAGCCAAGACATCCCTCACCCCTCCCACCCTCTTGCATGTTACAGCTCACATAGCAAGTGACCGTCTTTTGAACAAAAAGCTGCATATTCCTGCTACAGTTTAGTGAACGAACCTCCCTAAGAAGTTAAGCAAGGACAGGAAGATTAATTACAGACCAACACATGACTATGCATGAAATAAAACATGGCTGACAAAAACAAGGTCATTTATTCTTTCAAAGAAAAGCATCTTGGCCTTTATAAATCAGGGGTCACCCTTCATGTCCCAATGCCACATACCCTACCTTCGTTGGCTGAGGAATTTCCTTGAAAGTTACTGATTGGCCCACAAAGAAGCTACATCACTCTGGGGGACCGAACTGCTGCTCTGTTTGTAAAGAGGATACTGTCATACTGTTGCATGTAGAGTGTTACTTCCCAGTTCTGAATGGGTATGATGGGTAGTGTGGTGTTCCTTCCTCTTGAGAGGAGAGGGTAGTAGCAACACAACTACACCTAATGGAGGCTGACAGTGCCGCAGATTCAGACGTCCAAAAACACATAATTGAAACCACAAAGTATCTCCATACTGCTCCTCCATAGTGATCCAAGTGTCCTGAAGCCCCGACATAAAAAGTTGTTTGGAAAAACATCATCTGAACTGTGCTAAAAACAAATGACTTTTTTCCAACACTTTCTCCGCAAGTGTTGTGAGGACTCTAAAACTTCACCTGAGCCTCCATCGGCATATGGGTGTGTAGATAATAGGTGAATTTTCATTTTTGGGTGCACTATCCCTTCAAAGTCAAATGCATAATTAAATCACTTTAGAGACATTTGAAAGAAACAATGAGCAAGCAATCAGCAATGTGCTTTGTTCTGACTGTGCTGATGAATGACAAAGTTAGAGATGTTATTTTGTAGTTCTTTGAAGTATTTCTAAAGTTGGCTTCACACTCACTGGCCTTGATGAAAGAAATCATCAGACAGGCCGTTAATTTCCTCTCACTGCTTTGCCACATTCCACTTTCTGTTGAGGCCCAGAGATTTCCTTGAATTAACAGGGAAGGGGATTTCACAGCACCTAGTCAAACTTTTATTTATTAAGTTTTGTTTCACTTTTGTACCAGGCTTCTGGTAAACGCAGCTGTAACCTGACACCTGCTGTGTGTAGGTGTGTAGGTTTGTGCGTGTGTCTGTGTCCACATGTGTTTGTGATTGGATGAGGTTCAAGGGTTTTTTTTTTCAGAGTGCCTTTAATTATAGCATTACAGAGCTGGGTAATGAACTGTAAAAAAAAAAAAAAAAAGTAATAATCCCGCAATGATTACTGTAACTTATATAACTCTACATAACATATATAATACTGATTTAATACTTATTTGCATGCAGTAAAATGAAATTTTCTTGAAGAGAGGCAGTGGTATAGAATTTCAGGGCTGATAATGACAACCAGTGTAGCCAGAATAGACGGTAGTGCCAGTATGTCAGTTGGTTGTTTCAAAAGTTTGGTCCAATCTGAAATCTCCTGAAAACTATGGGTTGGATTGCCATGAAATTTTGGTGCACATATCCATAATCTCTATAAACAGATAACTGCATATGAATGCAGAATCCGCAGGCAGCTGGAACAGATTTTGGTATAGGAAGCATTCAGGTTCCAGTTTGTAGTCTGTGAAGTATTGACTAATCATGTTTGAGCAGGCTTTGGTTGCATGCAGTTAAACAACCTGTGTGGTGAGCAAAACAGTTGGCTGAAATGTAGTCTTGAAACCCAACAGCTATTGTCTGACAAAGATTTAGCTTTATGTTGGCTTTTTAAAATGTATTTGCATTCATATGCAGATAACTTGTATAGATGTCCCAGAGGCTGAATCGTCCTTAAAATTGATGGCCAATGGGTTCTGAGTTTGATATATTCATGGTACCCTGAGCATTAATACTTTTAACCGTAGTGATACTCCGAATATCCTTTAGCTCCACCAGCAGGTCAAAGTTTGACCAGCATTTTGATTTCTGACTAAATACTTGCAAAGATTAATGACATCCCAGCCTTATCTGAGCTGTGTTTAGCGCTGATTAGCAAATGTTAGCATGCTAAAATACTAAATGAAGATTATGAACATAGTAAACATAAATGAGTTTTGTCATTGTGCGTATGCTGACTTTAGAATTGCTGTGCCTAAGTACAGCCTCAGAGTATGCGCTGCTGTCAATCATATTTTTTTAAACAAATTGTACATGTGTTAACACTAATGTTTGGCAGTATCACATCACTTAATGTGATTTTTATATTTGTCAGGCATTGGGTTGTGTGTGTGTGTATCTATCTGTCAGCAGCTAATCTTGCAAACTACTGGACCAGTCAGCCTAATAATTTGTGTGCACATTTATGACTGTATGCTCAAGGACTCAAAATTCACAGTTGCTGAAAAAAAAGCTGTTTTATTGGCTGCTTTATACAGTCACTGACTGCTGACTCCTCCTTTCTCTCAACCGGCTGGTAGGGGCCGCAAATCATCAACAAAATCACATGGCAAAATGCATTCCCGGGAATTGGATTGGCTAAAAACAAGAAGCCTTACCCAGTCTGCAGGCCACATTTTGGCCTTTGTTGTGGCTCAAAGACTTGACATACATAGAAATGTTTGGTTTCATTTTGAATCCCAGCCTCTACAGATTAATTCCATACCTGATATGTCATGATCCACATAAGTTAGACGAGATACGAGATGAAAAAATATCTTTTTCATCCTACCTCCATCTTCACTGTAAGGGAGCTAGGAGCCGTGGTCTCTTGGCCGACATCTCCACTTTGACTGCACTTTTCTAGTTTTTACTGTAAATGCTTTTAGATGAAATAGAATAATTAGATTTAGTGTGATACAGCACGTGTCTAATGGCAGAACCCCCCTTTAACATTCTGCCCTGTTATCTTTGTTATCCCTCCTTCCTCACATGGAGTAGTTACTCATTCCCTCGGTGCCCTTCAGACTCCTTCTCTTCACACCCATTCCTCCCCTCCCATTTGTTAAGTCAGGCCTCTCATTGCCTGTTCCTCCACAATCTCACTGTGCCTCAACAAAGTGGCTGTGTGGGACTTTTTGTACTCAAACTATGGAAGGTTTGAATCTTGACTGAAGGAGAGCTTCAATTTTTGCTCTCCTTTTTTTACTCTTTACCTCTGTGAGCGCTCAGCTTCCAGGTGCCTGTTTCTCTGTGTTTTTTGGGGAGGAGTATTTTGACTCTGTGTTTTTTGGGTGAGAGTGCAGGATGGCAACCCCATCACTTCTTCTCTTCATTGACAGGTAGGATACCGGCAGATGACATAAAAAATGGAGTTTCATGGTTGACATTTTTTAACTACTGTGGCCTGTTGTTGTCCATTTCTGTCTGTGTTTTGTATGCAAGCAGTAACAGTGCTATGATTAGAAGTTGAAAATATGGCATTTGTGTTTGACTGTTTTCTGTTGGACTAAATGCACACTATTCTCTGGATTTATTGAATTGTGTTTGACTGTTATAAAAATGCGCCTGGAGCAGCTCCACGTTCCGCTCACTGATAGTCTTTTCGATGAGGAAAAGACTCAGTGTACTTTCTCTCTTCTTGTACTAGCTTGTTTGGTATTTCCATGCCAGGAGTCCTCAATGTTAGTTGAAGCATAAGAACCACTGGGACATCTTATCACCTTATTTGCAAACAGCATAACTGAACACAAGTGTTTTGAAATCC